CCAGTCTTTCTCAAGGAGAGTGTTGTTCAGTTTCCATGTGTTTACTCTTTTTCTGTTGATCTTCCTATTGTTGATTTCTAATTTGATAGCATTGTGATCTGAGAAGATGCTTTGCAGTGTTTCAATGTTTTAAAATTTATGAAGACTTGCTTTATGGCTTAACATATGGTCTATCATGGAAAATGTTCCATGTGCACTGGAAAAGAATGTATATTGTGCTATTGCTGGGTGAAGTACTCTGTCGTTGTCTATAAGGTCAGGTTGGTGGATTGTGTTAAATAGTTCTTCTGCATCTTTGTTGAATTTCTTTCCAGTTGTTCTGTCTTTCATTGAAAGTGGTATATTATCTCCCACTACGACTGTGGAGTCATATAAGGCCTTTTCAACACTTTTAAAGTCTGATTTATATATTTTGGGGCTCTTTCATTGGGTCCATAAACATTTATTATGGTTACATCTTCTTTTTCAATTGATCCTTTAATCATTATATAATGTCCTTCCTTGTCTCTCATGGTGGTTTTTGTCTTAAAGTCAATTTTATCAGAAATTAATATTGCCACTCCTGCTCTTTTATGGTTGCCATTTGATTGATATATCTTTTTCCAGCCTTTCATTTTTAGTCTATTTTTTGTCTTTGTCTTTAAGGTGTGTCTCTTGTAGACAGCATATTGATGGGCTTTGTTTTCTTATCTTGTCTGCAACTCTCTGTCTCCTGAGTGGTGTATTTAGTCCATTAACATTCAGTGTAATTATTGACAAGTGCGAATTAGTTGCTTTAATTTTGTTATGTGTTTTTCAATGGTGTCCCTGGTTTCTTTGTTCCATATTATTTTCTGTGCTGAGCTCATTATGTATATGAATCATGTTATCATTTCCTTTGTTGCTGTTTTAGTATTTTCTGAATATTTGTGCTTGTCCTCTTTTTTATTGTGTTGTGAAGGTTTATCATTTTTCTTTGAGGTTACCTGTGATTTATAATTTTCTCCCCAAGTTTAGAACAGTCCAGTCTATCTTGCAACTCTCTTGACATCCTCACCATTTAGAAATTCTGTAACTACACAGTATTTTCCCTCTTTTTGGTTTGCAGTTGTCCTCATTTGAAAATTGATGTGTCTGGTTCCCTGTTTACAATCCTGTAAGCTTATTTTACTTTGGATATGACCATAGCTGTGATTTTTGGTTATGTAATCTTGTGCATTAATGGATGGTTGTTGTTTCCTATTTTTGGTTCTCTGTTCAAAGGACTCTCTCTAGTATCTCTTGTAAGGTTGTTCTGGTTTTAACAAATTCCCTTAGTTTCTGCTTATCTGGAAATCTCTTAATTTAACCATCATATTTGAGGGCATTTTTTCTGGGTGTATAATTCTTGATTGAAAATTTTTCTCTTTCAGGGTTTTATATATACCATCCCATTGCCCTCTCACTTGCATGGTTTCTGCTGAGAAATTAGAGCTTATTCTTACTGCTGTTTTTGTGAGTAACTTTTTTTTCCCCCATGCTGCTTTCAGGATTCTTTCTTTGTGTTTGGTTTTGGTGAGTTTGATGATGATATGTCTTGTTGATTTTCTTTTGGGATCTATCCTGTTTGGGGTTTGTTGGACTTACTGAATGGATATATTCTCATCTTTCCTTATATCAGGGAAGTTCTCTTCCAACAAATTTTTGACAATTCTCTCAGTGGTTTTATTTTTCTCTTCCTGTTCTGGAATTCTAATGACACATAGGTTATTCATTTTGATATTATTCCACATGGACCTTAGGCTTTCTTCATTTTGTTTTGATCTTTTATTTCTGATTGATCTTTTTCCAAAGAAGTATTCTGGTATTTGTCTTCAATCTCATGAATTCTGTCTTCCATTGCTTCAATTCTACTCCTTTACCCTTCCAATGTGTTATAAATTTCTGATAATTTAGTATTAATCTTCTGGATTTCTATCTGTAGATGTTGAATCATTTCTAATTTTTCATTTATTTTGTCATTTTGTTCTTGTATTTTCTTCCAAAATTCTTCTAGGGTTTTGTTATTTTTTCCTTGAT